AAATTCCCCTAAAGTATCTCTCTTTATCTATGCTGTTTTTGATTCAAACGTCTTCCATAGCCACCCATCCATCCATCCGTCGAGCTGAAGACCCCTCACCCACTTCATCAAAATCGAACATTATTGAGCTTGAATACAGTGCAGGCTGCGCCTCTTTGAGAGCCATCCCCTCGAGCATCTCACACACATCCATCCATCCTGGAGGACGACAGCTGCAGGAGATTGCCTTGGATTGGGATTGGCCAGTGGAATGGAGGTGGAGCTGGTTCAGTCCAAGGACATGCCAAGGCGCTGGACGATGGATTAGGAAGCTTCCTTCCTCTCCGCTCGCTGCAAGGAAGCGCAGCGATGCGAACGTCATCGTCATCAAGTTGGACATCGCAGCGCGTTGTTTACTCGAGTCCAACGTTATCCTTTTTGGCAGTGGCCGCCTTTGTTGTTTTGTTATTTTTCATGTCAGTCAAAGAATTGGCAACGGACATGGCCGATGAAATATGCTATACATATACATATATATATTGCGATCGAACTGGCGAGGGACAAACTTGGTCGTGGAGCACATTGCATCAATATTGAAACGTCAACGTCAAACTTGCCCAGCGGCCAAATGGCGCTCTCAAACAGGATAGACAAAGGACGATGTGCAGGATGTGCTGCCTCGACCCAAAAAGCTGATGAAGAGTTCACATTTTTCTTTGTATGATTTGACGAATGAGCTGTCATCTTGCATTGGAAACTCAGGCGAATATCTCCCATGTATCTCCACCCACTTTCTCCCCTGGACAACTCAACACAGCTGATGGCCTTTCTTGTTTGTATTCCTTTTGAGAAAAAATTTTGATGGCAAAAAGTTGCTGACCATTTCGTTTGATGCTTCGTTAAGGGGGAATAATAAAAGGCTGGTGAGCAGTGGGCAAGGAAACGAGATATCATTTGCTTTTGGCTAAATTTCAAATTGAACTCTTCAAACTGATTCTGTTTATATTTCTGTGAAGAATCATAGGTAGTATTCTACACAGCTATTTTTCTGTGGGATAGAAATTTTTAGAAATATTAAAAAAATAGCAGGATATAAGTATAGTATTTTTCCGAAAGTATACAATTGTAATTTTTTGGACTTATCAGCAATTTCTTTTAAACTTTGAGTTTCACCATAAAACAAGTTTATTCCAATCAATTAAAATCAAAGTCGGTCAAGAATCCATAAGACCTTGAAGAACTTTTATTTTCTAACAAATTGGTAATATTATATTGAGTTATATATATCATACTACTAGATATTCGCAAAGACGGAATCTTACTTATAATCCGAATTTTTTGTGAAGCGATTATATTATTCCTAATTTGTGATTATCAATTTTAATTTTGCGAAGTGATTGATTGATTGTAAAGCCATAAAATAAAACTTCTGTTAGTATTATTTTAAAGTAATCAATTTAAATTTTTAAAAATATTTTATATACCTACCTATTATTTAAAAAAATGTTTTTTAGCCATTTCTGAGACCAACAAAGGATTGTCAAAAATTATTCCCTCGAGGACTTGTGTATATATGGACAATATATATGTATTTACAATCCTTCCCCCTAAATGTTGCGCCTTTTCCGACCATCGACGGCTGGGGAACACTTTTATTGATGCCCGGACATTCATCACGATTTCTTGGAGCCGGCAGACGCTTCGTGTCACTCTCACGTCCTGTCCTTGGAGTCCGGAGGAGCCCCAGCCCCCAACTGACCCTCCGCTCCCGCTGATGGCTCCATAAATGATGCAATAATTTTTTCATCTTCAGACGGGGGCAGGACAGGCACGGAGCCGAGGAAAAATCAAGAGAAATTTGCCTCTGGGATTTGGGTTCGTGAGCGGGAAAGGATTTTCGTTGCTGGCATACGTTTTGTTTGAAAAATGCACAGGACATTACGAGGAGCTTCGGCTGCTTGGATCCGTGATGTATGACGGCTGGTCAAGGGGGACGAGGAGGGGAGGGGGTGGTTTATGGTGCACCGAGTCTGCGTCCTTGGGGGGTGGGCTGGATGGAGAAAGGGACTTTCCTTTTCGTCATCTTTCGGGGTCCTGACTGACCGTCAGCCCCGTCTCGGCGCTCTGCTAATGGCTCCGGTCCATTATCTCGTCATGTTTGTTACGAAATTTAATTACTCTTATTTATTTTTCACTGCCCGTTCTCATCCGCATCCACGTCCGCATCCGCGTCCGCTTCCGCGTCTTTGTCCTGTTCTGGTTTATGATTTTCAACTTCGTCAAAAAATGCGAAGGCAAAAATTAAATGTGAAAAAATGAAATTAAAAACACTTTTTGCATAAAGCGTCCTCCGCCCATTTCCTTCTCATGTTTTACCATCGCCTAATGTTTTGTCACTTGAACTCTCAACAAAGCCATCATATTTTTTTCCTGGCCTTTGGGGTTGGAGTGTCTTGGGATGAGTGTTTTGGGAAAAATCTAATAATATGTTGCGGAAATTATATTTTTTATTGTTGACACGTTGATGTCATAAGGTTTTCTGGATTTAAAGCTTGAATTGAGATTTTGAGGCTGTAAAGAAAAATTACAACACCTTAATACAACAGTGATTTTGAAATTAAACATGAAAGGTAACTGATTTTGCTTCGTAAATTTTGTAAAATATTAATATATGGAAATTATAAACTCATTTTACGATTTGACAATGTTTTTCTTTAAAGTAGTAACAATTACTTATGGAACTTTAGCTTTGATAATCATGATCGGTCGTATTATTTATTTCAATGTAAACATCTTTGCTTTCTGTAGACTTAAAATCGGACCCATTTAAAATCAATACTTTTATGTAGTCCTTTTTCCGGAGGTTCCTTTGCCCTATGTGCAGATTCTTATCAGTCTCACTTTCGCTGCATACTTTCGGGATGCGAGGAATACGTAAAAAGGACTTGATGGCGAACAAATGCTTAGATCCTTTAAGATTTGTCTTCTTTCTTTCGCAGTCGTCGAACAATCCTTTTGAAATTAAATGCCCCACGGAGATGCTGACTAAGGAAACTGTTCCATTGACCAGCGATGGAAGATGGGATTCTTTGCAAACTCCTGCCGTCCCGTGCATGTCCATCATTTGCTTTTGTCTTTCGGTTTTGTTTGCACACGCCATTTCTTGCACAAAATCCTTGCAACCTCAGTGGCGTCAGCAGCCTCCTAGACCTGCCACGCCCCCCGATGGAAACGCCCCCGCCCCCGTCCACGCCCACTGGCATTCCTGCAGCTGTCAGTCAATGTGTCGTGTCACAGTGTCTCTCCATCTGTCTGTCACTTGCATGTCTGTATGTCTATTCTACGTGACACCAGGCGAGCGAATTTCCAACTCTTCCCGCTTCATCCCAACTTGCAAGCCTGCTTCCTTGCCAGCTTGCTTTCTTGCTTTGCTTTCCTTTCCTGCTTGCTTGCCTGCCTGCTTGCTTGCTTGCTTTCTTGCCGGTTTGCTCAAGTTTTCCCCGGCAGGACGAAAAGGGGATGAGGAGGCAGGACCTCCAGTGAAGGATGCTCTGCAAGCGATGGATGGATTTTTGGATTCGCAACTTGCACTTGGATTACAAGTCTGATTTTGATGCGTACATGTTTGTCCCGCTCTCAGTTCAGTTCAGTGCGTGGGATGGGAAGTACACATTGCACTTGCCAGTACACTGAAAAACTAAACTTGTACTGTCAAAATCGATATGAACAGCGAGACTGCTTTCGTCTGTTAAAACCAAGTTGAGACTAGTTTCATAGACTTTTTAAAATTCCGTCATTTTGAGAGCATTTTCTTCTTGAATTGAAAAAGTGAGATGACGAATTCTCAAATATAGATCATTTGATCTTGAATCTTTTTCATTCTCAATTTTACAATGCATATAAGCATATGATATTTAATATTTTGTGGAACAAGAAACTCTGTGGCTGATTTAATTTTATGGAAGAATTTCATATGCTTGTAAAGTTAAGACTCAATCTACAAAAATGATATAAGAGTAAAAAAATCTACGAATGTGAGAATGAAAACCAATAAAAATATAAAAACCCATTTTAATCATTAATTTTATTTATTTCTTTATTTTTATTAAATGGTATATATTTTAATGAATTTTTTAATACTTGTATTTCTTTTTTTTCGTGTAGAAGCCCCCGAAACCCTTCTCTATTATGGGTCAACCTCACACAAATACGAGAGGCTGGGCGAGTGTGGGAACGCTCAAGTTTTCTTATGCTTTTGTCTTTGTGTCCTTTTATTATTTTATTCCCTGGCCTTGTTTTAATTCACAGCGTCTGCTGCCGCGTCATCCTTCTGGCCCGACTTTGTCTTCGTGGCAGTAGTGGTATCCTAGTATCCTTCTTCGTCTCCGGCAACATTGTCTCAGCCTCAGTGCTCCGCATCCTTGGCAAGGAAGCTCACTTCGTGTATGTGGTATATGGGTCCTGAGAATGGAACTGGGAGGCGGCGGCTCTTGTTGTTGGGTTGTAAGTGACATTCGCAATTTTCAAAACTATTGAATGAGTGACAAGTTCTGCAGACACGATTGAAACTGACAGTTAACTCGAGACTCGGCAAGCAGTGACTTGCATTGAATGTGGAAGTACTGTATGCAGTTATATCTTAGAAGGATGTAATGGGGACCCACAAGCCATCACTAAATATTTTTCATTGTTTGAGCTTTAATGGTAAAAATGCATGTTTATTACACAGTTTAACAAATGATATTATTATTTTGAAATATTTATTTGTTTCAAGCATTGTAAAAACTGCTTACAAACAGTATATTCTTTTGGTATATATACTAAGTAGTAAATTTAATTTAAAAAATGGATATAGGAATTTAAAAATGGTTTTATTTTGTAATTTAATAATTCGATTTTTCTTAATTATCAATTATGACTTTCAACTAATTTTTACCGACTTTTAGCCGATTTAATATTATTACTTCCAATAACAGATGAATGGATGCGCCAATAAAATGCCGAAACGAATAAGATTTTACTGGCCATCGGACAGATGACGATGATGATGCTATCAACTGGTTGAAGAGGTGACTCACTGGCCATTAACAATTTCATTTATTTTGTCGCATCCAATAAGTGAGTTGGGCTCGGTCTGCCGGGGACATTCGACCCAGTCTGTCTGTCAATGTCAACATCAATGTCACTGCGTCCTGGACCAGACATTTTGACAAATAATTCAAACCGCATTTTATAATGAATTTCCCAGAGGCCGATGAGGGGACAGGATGAGTCTGGTGTCCAGATGTCCAGAGGTCCAGAGCTCCAAAGGTGGGTGTGACTGCAGTTAGGCTGCACCTGATAAGCCCTCTCTCCCCATCATATTCTACCAGACATTTGCGGGAGATTTATGCGAAATAAATTCCAGGCGAGACAAAAAAAATACCAAAACTGATAATCACATTGATGAGCGCGGCTTTATTTTTGGATTCGGGCCTTAAGTGCCAGAAAGCGACGAGCTGGCGTCACTCACACTCATCCAACCTCCCATAAAGAGATGGTTTTATGGGGCAGATGTGTCCGGCTTGTGGTGACTCCTGGAAAGCTTTGCGATCGTAAATTTATACACCATCGTAAATGTTTCATAACGTCTGGCTAATGGGCTATGAAGATCTGCCTTAGGCTGAATAGACAACTAAAATACCCAACATATCAAAATACCAACTATTAGCAACAGATATAATGCAATCAAAGATCAATTACGGCAAAAATAAAGTGCACTGTCCAAAATTAGTCATGCTTCGATCGACTGGTATCGCAAACCTGAATTTACATAACCCGCGTTCATTAAGGCGACCCAAAAATTCGATATGCAAAACAAAAGAAATATGGTTATTACTGCTGACAGCTGCCTTCATATTCGATTCATATCGTCACTGTCAATTATCATAAAAATACCCAAAAATAACTTACGATTTGTATTTAGCAAACATTTTTGGCAACCAAATTTGGTTGGTAAGTACACATTTTGACGAGGAAACAAACAAGATATTTCAATCTTAAGCTTCCAAAAAGGAGATGGGCGATTGCTCCACCTTGGAGTCTTCCGTCCCTGACAAAATTAATTCGCCAATGGGAAATACAATGATTTTGAACTTATTGTAGATGCAAAGGGTTTCAAAGTGGAAGGCATTTTCAATTACCACGTGATTTCGTTCGGCTTCGAAATGCTTTGAGATAGGGGATAAATTCACATTGGAGCAGTTGAGGAAAAAATTGGATGCATTGAGGGCCACCACGAGATCATAAGATCCCTCCAGAATTTCGTTCCAAATGGAAACGGATGCGAAGTTCAGGGTTTCCCGCTGGCATATATCAATGGCCTCCCTATTGTTCCGGAAGGTATAGAATGTTATAACCCCAGTGGGGTAATTTCCAAGAACATCATGGTTGCATTCGCACACAAAAATTGGAGAAGCCAGTGGAGGGGCCACCTCAGTATTGTTAGCTCTTATTATTTCCAAATTGGATGATTCGCATTTCTCCAGAGCTGCCAGATAGTTAGGATGTTCTGCCACGAATTCAGAAAGTGGGTGTAGTTTAGGAAGAATTCTTGTGATGATCTCTTCTCGAATTTTCTCCTCAACCAGAACCATAGCCACAGCATTTGGGGCAAAGGGATTATGAGCCGATTCAATTAGAAAGTGCAGGGCACTATTGATGTCCCCGTCTTCAAATATAATCATCAATTGGGGAGTTGAAGTGTGAGCATCTTGCGTATCCCCTTTATCTTTCGATGTTTCTTCTGTGAGGAAATTTGGATACGGAGAATCTCCTTCTAGATTATGAACCATATCATATTTAACCGGATTGTCCAAAGGCGCAAGATCTTCGGATTCTGATTGGGATGGGTGTTCAGAGTCAACCGAACGTGGAAAGTACTTAGTTGTATCGAACATGGCTGGTTTCAGAAATTTTCAATAAACTTGTTTCAATGAAATAAAATGGGGAGCAACCATGACATATCATTACAAATTTTTGTTTAGGCCACAAAGAAAAACAAATACCCGACGTCGTCATGTAATATCTGTTACCTAATTATTTGGACTCTGCCCAAAGCAATTTCGTTTTAATTCCATAACATAACTAATAATGCTCCGGGGGCTTAGAAGGTCCTTTCATTAGAGCTCAATACAATCCCACAACGTGGGAGCGGCACACAATTTAGTTAACCGAAACCCACGGCGCGTTTTATTTGTTAATCGCCTAATTTACGATCAAGTGTGACAGTAAAATTAAAATATCACAAACAGATACAAAAAAGCCGAAAATACACAATAGTACTTAGCCGTCGGCCGAACAGAAACCCGAAAATGCATTTGGATTTGTTGAAATTAGCATTAAAATATTATAAATATTTTGCCAAAATATTACAATCTTTTTTCTTTTGCATTTAGAATTGCCTCCCCCATTTTTGGCTAACAACAAAGAGCATACGATTATGAAACAACAAAACCGTACTAACAACGACAATTAAAAACATTTAAAACCACAGATATATATTTTTTTTGGCCTGGCGCATTGGCGAACAACAAACGCACCGCAAAAAATGTAAAATAGTAAATTCCCTAACGAGTTGAGGGACATCCATGTGGACATCAAGTGCAGCAACAATACAGCAAATTTAACAAAACGATAATTCTGCTAACGATGACCATTTACATATATCAAGAGTAATTATAATAAAATGCCGAAAATAAAATTAAAATTAATATAGAAAGCCGATTATAAAATCCTGTTTATACAAACAGATATCCCACACAAACTCCCGCGCATTCCATGTGGCAAATACAACTGTCAAAAATAGCAAATCCCATAAATCAACAATAAAATTTTGCCCAGAAAAAAGGAATGGAAACGCAAATAGAAAAAAACATGCCTGATTTCGTATACATAATTGAAGACAAATAAATTTGTATTTATTTTCTATACAAATATAGCTTTTGACCGAAACAAATCATCACCAGTTTTACAATTCCGACCTGATAATATAATAAATAAAACGCTTAACCTTTTTGAGGCTTTGGATATTCTGTCAAATTAGATAAAACTGGAAATAGTCCCTAGAATGGTCGGAAATATAATAAAGAAGGTGGTTGCAATACTATTTGGGGTAAATGTGTTATAAACAATCCTAAAACCTTTAATAACTCGATATATTTTTTTTAGCTAGTATTGGCCATATTACTACGAATAATTCTACCTTTTACATTAAAGTTTAGTAACCTTAAAATAACTACCGATATAATTGCTTATTTTAGTGGTTTAACAATTACCATTTCCATTACTGTATGCTTATTTTTGGTCAGCATATTCCTAGCTTATTTAACTGATGATTGGATTGCTTTTGGGGTAGGTAACTTAACACAAAAAAACTTTAGTAAAGATAGTTATTGTCTTTAAAATTAGTTTATACCGCTACAAATATACATCCTGCATTGGACCTATCTCACATTTTCGGAGCGATTGGAAAATATTAATAAAAGCTATGATGCATTCATGGATGATTTAACACAAAAATGGCTGAGCTACTTCAATTACAATGACACTTATTGGACTTCTCTAGAAAAGACAGTATGACTTCCGTTTGAGGTACTTACATCTCTTTTAATAATCTTATATCTTGCAGATCCTGTGCTGTGGATTGGAGGGACCCCGGTCTTATATGGATTATCTACAGAAGGTTCCAAAACACTGCTATAATCCCAAACTAATTACTCTTGGCTGTAGTCATTTTTATCAAAACATATTTCACCCAATGCAACATATAGGTCTCTTATTGCTTAGATTGTCACTTTTTGTGGAACTTTGCATTTTGTTATTTTATGGCTTAAGGATATTTAAAAAGCTGTTTAGCTTACTTGCAAGGGAAACCAAAAAAAGTTGTTAGGCAATAAATGTTGCTAATAAATGGTTAAATGTTAAAAATTAAACTTTATGTTTTTATAAAACATATTACTTATTGAAAACTGAAAACAAAGATACGATTTTTTATTAGAAATGGGCAGTTGGGGTAAAACCAATGGAAATACATATGAATATGCATTTTAAATCCATAACCCTCCCCATAAAAACTCTCATATCTAGTTGGTATTTATTGTTTTAGAGTGCCAATTTTTATCTATGCCACTTTGGCGCATAAAACATGCGGATGACAAACCTGAATTGGACAAATGAAATAAATTGAAATTAGCTTCCTTTTGTTGCCGTTGACAATTTGAATAAAATTATTATAAATTTTCTCACATTTTTAATTAATAAATGTCAAATATTCTGCGTATGGGTATTTATTTGTAAATTTATTTGTCTGATTTGTAAATTTCCTTTTTTTTTCTGTTTGTTGCCTTTTGTCTGCTGTGGCATTTCATGGAAAATTGATTTTGTTGTAATTGCGACGATAACAAATTTCCCAGGCAATTTATGTTGGGGTTTGGGGGCTTGGAAAAAAGTTTCGCATGGCGCCAAACATAAAAATGGACGAGAGAGGCAAAAGAGTGGCGGAAATATACTTTGGACTCGCACAACGGAAACGGAAGTCAATATTAGTAGGCAAAAATGAATATTCCCAGTGGCAAAACAATTCACATTAAGCAAAACGCATGAATTTTTGACAATTGCACAGCATTATTAATGGTCAGGATCTGTCGCGATTTGCTAACCCGAATTATTATTATTTTTTATTTATATAGATGATATCAGGAAATCAATTTTGGGAAATTTATGACCGAAAGTCATGCGGTCTAAGGTAGATAAATGGAATTTGCTTTCGATTAGTTTAGCAATGGGTACAAAGCTGGCTGAAAAGTGAATAAATCAGGGGGGGTTCAAAAACTTTTACAATATAGGAGCCCCTAAAAAAATTAAAAATTAGTTAAACACTATAAAAGAGGCTAGTTATTGGGATCATAAGGGTAAAGGCCATTAAATAAATTTATAAAAATTAAATTTTTATAATAATTTTGATGTTCCGAGATATAATGACCCAAGACCCTTGGCAATAATAAACTCTTTTCGCCACTCTCGTCATCGGTTTTATGGATCCGGTGTCAAAGTCAGTCATTAAACACGTGAACGATCCAGCGAAACCTTAACGACCGACTGTGGGTGAGTGTGACGTGTGTTGGCTATGAAATCGCTTTGATTGATTGCCATTCCCGAATTGACGACGATAGGAGGACCACACGCCTGTTAACTCTGTCAGTGTAAAAATTTAAAAATATATACACACATCGTGTGCGATAAGTGGGAGCCGGGGTCATAAATACTCGGCACCCACGACAAGAATTTCTTATGGCTCGAGCGAAATTCCCGGCTGTGCGGATGGGTGCTTGCGAATATTTTGTGGCTGGCAAGTGTCAAACATTGGCCATCGCCCAGACAGCCAGCCATCAGAGTGAGACTTATCATTTGCTCATAAAAATGTCAAAACTATCACGCTGACATTGACTGATGACGGGGCTTCGAAAGGGAGGACTCCTATGAGGGGGACCTGGAATGGTTCCTCCTGCGGCAGGATGCCAAATGCTAAATGTTTCGCCTCCTCCACTTGTCACACATCCATCCATCCTTCAGCACGCATCCTCCTGTTGACTGATTCCATTTCATCTCTTTCACATCGTCATGTTATTTTTTACTCGGTGCCACTGCATTCAGCCATCCATCCATCCATCTATCCGTCCATCAATCGACTCTATCTCAGAGTGACTCAGAGTGGCTCGAGGAGCCATCAGCATAACCATTCCATAACTGTTTGGCCATGATTCATGGCCTCGATTGAATTTTGATTGACAATATCGCAAGCATTTAAAGTGTCTGTTTCCGCTTTCCGTGTTCTATGAATATTTTTTCTCCACTCTCCTTGCGAGTGGCTTGACTTTTGGATCGCAAGGCTTCGGGCGTAGTGATTTTAAAAATCATTTGTCCTTCGACAGATGAGCGATTGATTGACTTTGTCGGCTATGATATGAATTCATCACAGTTAGTGATGAGTTTCCTGAGGTATTTCAGGTGTTTTAGTGGGATATAAGGAGCTATTGTGTGGGTCCTAGAGTCCAAGGGTGATATATCAGCTTGTAAAAATTCTGGGCTGCCACAAAAATTACTAGGGCATTGAAATCACTTTAAAATGTAATTTTATGGGTCTAAAAGTATGCAACAGTATATTTTAAATTTACTAATACAATCAATTCCATCAGAAAGACGACTATTTTATAAAGACTGCATACTTTTAGACACCTCAAAATTTAAAGTATTATGAAAGTTCTCGGGATTTGAGTGGCACACCTAAATATTTATTGGGATTTCTTCACAATATTTCCTTATACAACACTAATTGATAATGCAATATTGTTTTAATATTATACAAAAAATTAAAAAATGCAGAAATTATTTATGTTACAATCTCATTTTTATTGAATGTCAATGTAAAACAATCATCTGGAGCCTTGAAAATAAATATAGATTAATTATATATTATTCTTTCTAGCGTATTCCCCGCTTACTTTCACATCTCCTACCTATACATTTATAATGGCACATTATAACTCAAGCTTATAATCTCGCATATTTTTTCATTATGTTGCCAAAGAGAGAAAAACTAGTTCATGTAAATTTATAACCCTTGATATGTGTGTCATCCCTGCTCGATATCGATTACGAACCCCATTATGAGCACCCACTCTTTGAGCATGGACGTACACATTAATTAGCGATAAGATCGCCTTCGGTCCTCTGGATGTGAAAATATCAATTTCATTTTGACATTGATTGAATTAATTTATGAGCTGTGCCTTCCCAACCGTCCACACCCAACTAGTTTATTTACGACCGTTACCAATTCGAACCAAATCAGAGCGATTTGAGTGATTACCTGTTTGACCAATTTGAGATTTATGCTCTCGGTCGGAGTGAATGTTGTCGTCTAGTCCCAGCTAGAAATGTAATCGATACGGGGTGCTTGATAAGAATGTTTAGAATTGGAGATTCAGCTTGAACTCCAACTGTATGGGAAATTAATGGATAACCTATAATTCCTGACTCCCAGTGATCAGGAATAAATATATTTTATAGGCTTGAAATTCCAATAATATGTATCTTAAATTCAAAGGATTACTTATCATTTATATTTCATATTTTCGTATTAAAAGTCATTCGTAGATATTTTATGACCGTTTTTCGCAGTCCATTGAAATTAATCATGTTGAATTTTCGTTTGACAAAATAAAAGAGCCTCAAAAATGCAGTTGTCAATTGTCAGCTGCAACTGCAATGGCAACCATTTATGCCTGAACATATTTTTTTATACCGAGACAAGTATACCTATATAAAGCAGATGAAACAGTCACGCACTTTTTGAAATTGTCATGGGTGGTGGTACTGGGTGCTGCAAGGGGGGGGCTGATCACGTCCTCTGGACGGGGACATTTCAATTTACTCATTGCGCCGCTGTCAACGGAGGAGGTTTTGGTCCTGTCGCAACCTGAGGCCTGACAACAATCGCCAACAATCAGTGGGAAATGCGTTCATTTTAGGACATTTTGCAGTAATTGAAAGCGACTTGCCATCCAAATGGTTTTTAATTATTTTTTTAAATTTATAACTCCTGTATCGCGCATATTGGTGCTCCACCACCGGCAGCAAATAAATTGCAAATTATCACGGTTGTATTTTTGTACCATTGTGGCATTTATATATATTTTAATTTTAATTCAATTGCACGTCGCTCATCGGAACCTCGGACTCTGTGGAGCCACTGGCTCTTCAAAAAGCAGACATTTTGACGCAAATTATCCGCTGTGGGCCCAAGGGCTAGGCCGATTGTCTTTGAGCTTATTATTTGATAAATGAAAAGGATTTCCATACTCGATTCACCCAATTATTATTAAATATCGTTTGGCATAAGCTTAAATTGCCCCTGACATCGCATAATGGGCTTTAAAGGCTGTAAGTGTATTTGTAGGGCAAGTCTTAAACTGTAAACATGTTCCCCAAATAAAAATGTTATCTTAAATAAAGTAAAAAAAACAAATGCAAGAATTCCATACATATATTTAAAATCTTGAACCTTGAAAAATGTGAAGCCGAAATAAAAAGCATCAACAAATCATAATGATATTTCTAAACAGGACACAGGTACAACGATCAGTGGATGGCATTCAACATGTTACATTTGTCAGTTCGCCAAATTGAAATCAATACTGGAAGCTGGACATGAATTCATTGGTTACGAGATACTTTGTTAAGTATGTTAGTAAAATTAAGTGTGTAAGTAAAATTTATTTGAATTTTAAAACTTTTAAAAAATGTACCTTTTTAAAGTATAAATGGGTTTTGAAAATAATATTTAATAAAGGGAAATATGATACAATATTAATTTAAATTAATTAATTAAAATTATAAAACTATCCCTAAACCTTTTAAAATTTGTCTTCTAAAAGTTTGAAATCAAACACTTATTCCATCTGCCCTCGAGATTCTCAAGATAAGTTATTAAATTAAGAGGAACTGAGTTTAGAGTGACTTGATTTTATTAAAAACTCTTAGATGCAGGAGCAAAATAGCTTGAGTCCCGGATCGCTGACGCAGTAGGATTGGCTCAGATAGTGGTTGACCCGACTGATGGGGCTGGTCAACAGTAGAACGTCCGAAAGACGAACGGTGGCTTCAAATATACCATTTCCGGGGCTGGTCCTTACCCTCAGTCTCAGCTCATAGACGAAGGACTCCTCACCAAAGTCCAGGAAGTGAGCCTGTAGAACCATCTGGAGTTTCAGCGGGTGACACTTTTCGAATGGTTTGATCAACTTGTTGATGGACTCCACCAAAAAACGGCTGCATCGAAGGACCAGACCATCATCTGTGGGAACTTCGGTGAGATCGCGGCAGAAGCAAAAGAGTGATGGTATGAGGGCCAGGTCGCAGGTCCTGTGATCTGGAATCGGTAGAAAGAGGCTAATGCCCCTGGGCATCTTCTTGGCGGGATACGACTTCAGACTATTCATTCGGCTCTCTATACTGGCATCCTGCAGCAGATCCAGACTTATCACATCCAGTAGAGTGTCGTGCAGATCGTACGGTGTGATCAGGCTATGGGCGTTCTTCTCGAAATTCTCCATGGCCAGGGGGTATTTCTCCTTCAGCCATTCGGGGTATATGGCCACCATTAGGGGCTGGGATTCCTCCTTCATGCCCTGAAAGCTCATTCTATATGTTCCAGCCCTTAAACCATGGTCGGACATTAGCAATACCAGAGTATTGTTTAGGACATTGGAATCCAGTAACTTCTTCAAGAGCAACATATAGGTTAGATCCAAGTGCCCGCCGTATTCATAGTACTCCTGAACACCCTGCGACTGCCAGAAAAATGAGAAATAGGGGCTGTCTTGCATATGTGGTATAAGTTTTAGGATAAAGTCCTTGAAAACCTCTTGATACGTTCGTCCTGCCGTGCAATGGATCATCTCCTTGAGATCTATGCTATAGCGCGTATGATTATCTATCTCCATCATCACAGGAGTCAGATCAAAATCAATGGGTTGCCTGGGACTTCCCCACTCCCCATTCTTATGGGTTAGGATTCCTTGGGCATTATCCTCCCCATAGGCAGTACTATATCCTCCAATCTTGAAGTTTTGCCAGAGAAAAGCTTCCTCGTTGGCTGGAAGTTCTGGATCCACTTCATTAGCACTTAAACCACTCAGAAATGGCATTAGATTGTTATAGGCATCCAAACCCACTCGACTATAGCCGTAGAATTTGGTGTGCGGCAGATTTAGCAGAAAACCCTTCACGAAGGGAAAGTATCGGTAAAAGTGCATGTGGGAAATTGAGTCAATACCCAGCACCATTACGGATAATTTTCCAAGATTTTTTTCTGGTTTTAAATCGGGATGAGGGGGCGTCAAGAAATAATGAACATCATGATATTTGGTTTCATTCAGTTTGTTTGAACACTTAATACGAACTATCTGTTGACCAGTTCCCATTTTTATCTCCTTACTAGACTCACTTTCCAGATCGAAATATCCTTCATCCAGGTATTTATCATTTTTAAAATCCCTGGCAGACCTTAGCCAGTATTTGCAGTGCAAGTCCTTGGCATCCTTTTGAGTCACCAGAAAATTGTTACCATCTTTAGTGACCGCAATTATTAGTTGTTTCTTGCGGCATCGCATCTTGTTTATAGGCTCAATTGCACACTTAAAAGCCGCTGACTTTAGAGGTCCAGCTATATGACATTCGGAGGTATTGACAAACACAACTTCTTCTGGATAGGAAACTAAAGGTTTTTGTTCAACCATTTCCGTTAGTGGCTGAAGACCAAAGTACAGCATAAAAAATATTCCGGTGAGCACCATCAATGCTTTCATTCGCACTAGCATTTTAGCCATTTCTTCAATTGACAAATATTTTTTACTTTTTCAAGATCCTTAACAAAGCCTTAAGTATTATGAATATTTTCCCCAGACTTTATTTTTCAGGCCTACTATTAGAGAAGTAATCAAAAAGCATTTTAGTTTTGTAGTTTCAATTAAGTGATATATAATTAAACACATGCTGGTACTAAATTAATAATATCGGACAAAGCCGTCTAAAATTACAATTGTTTTCGAAATTTATTTCCATACCTGAACTGAATGGGAGAAATTAATTAAAATGGCCAAAAATGATTAGAAAATGGCGACATGAATAAATAAAATAAAGAATAAATAAACTCAAATTTGCTGGCAATTGTTGATCCCACATTTCGATAGCTGCAGGGTTGTAAAATAAAAAAGGAGAAAATAAAATAAAGCCACTAATAAATAAGGAAATAACCAAATACCATTCCAAAATAATTTTTGCAATTGTTCTAAATAAATAATGAGCACAACTGTACTGTCAAACCTTTTTTTTCGGCTCGGCTTAGCCATGTAAATGTGTGCGTTTGTCCATTTAAATTATAAAATCTAATCACCTTTGTTTAAAATTTAATGAACGCAATAATTTTAGAGGATTTGCATTCACATTTCGTTTGGGAACGGCGTGTAATTTCGGGGGGCGAAGGTGTTTTTGGGCATTTGGCGTAATTGGCGACAGCCGGAAAATGCGCCGTGGGGTGTAAAAAATGACCAGCAGAAGGCATAAAAACTAAACAACATTTTCCAAAAAAACAAATAAAACGGATTTGTATCTATCGACGGCCTAACAAAACAATAGAGATTATGGTAAAGCATAACAAAAGAGTTTTATTTCTCATTTTTATTTATCATCGTATGCAAATAAGCAGTTTACAAATACCAGCAACCAAATATTTGAATGGTTTGCATAAAAATCGAGCAATTTATTTAACAAATTATCCATTTTAGCGCTGTTCGCTTTGTTTTGTCAAATGAGGTTAATTTGTGTTTAACCTGACATGTGCTGGTCTCCACCTCGCCGCCTCTTCGCCTATTCCTGCGGTCAAGTGTGGGTAAACGCAGTTTGCTGGCTTTTCCAGCCATTGCCAGTGTGGGCAAATGCAGTTAGAAGCGTCAACATGGCGGAATTTTACAAATTGCCGGCGTTATGGAGTAGAAAGCTGAAATCTGGGCAATATTTGTTGGCTTTGTTGTGAATTTTAAAGTATTAGACGTTCCTTTATGTAGTAAGCAATTTTAAAAAAAATTAAAATGTCCTATGCTCACTTTTAAAAAATATATATTATTTTCTAGTAAATAGAATTCACTCACTTCCCAAAAATATTATATTAAGGATTATAATATAATAAAATTTAACGAAAATTACCAATTACCTTCGTAGTTAAGATCGTGCACTTTTTTGTTTATGTCATGTATTCTTTAATTCTAAATAAATAAAAGAAATTTATACACTAACAATATTTACGAGAAGTATGGAATATATTTTTATAATTATAAAAATATTTTATGAATATTAAGATAATTATTTTAGACACTTACAACATATATCACTAAATTTGCCTTAAGGAACATTTATTACATTTTTATGTACTTCCTAGATTTATAGATTTATTGCTTGCCTTGACCTTATTAAATTTAATTTTTAGAGTAAAAATAGTAATATGTGATATAAGCTATCCCACAGTGGGCACTCCTAATTCCCATTCGATGGAAATTGTCGCTCATTTTCATGTCCCGTGCAGTGGCAGTTCAGATATTTTACATAACTATATAGGCCCATTTGTACATACAAATACACAAATAAATCCAATCCAATATAATTGCAGTGGACATGCCAAAGAGCAACACCACGGAGTGCTTTTGGCAAAAAATGGGTGGCTTTGGGGTGGTGCTGGGGTGGTTTTAGGATGGTGCTGGGGTGGACTGGATGGGTTGGATGGTGATGGTGCGTTGACGTTGTCATCAAAATAAAAATTAATTATGCATTCTATGCGCTGCATTTGAATTGCTTTTGTTGTTTGTTACTGTCATTCCCATTTTGAGTGCGTTTGTTGTGGCCTCGTTGCAGTTGTTGTTGCCTTTGTATCTGGTTTTATTGGTGCTTTTGTTGTGCGGGATTAATGTGGCATTAAAGCACCGCGCATACTTTTTAGCATTTGGATCCGATAACTGCGGGGCAAATAAATTACAAATATAATAATTAAGCAGCATTATTTTTGACAAAACAAATGCACAAACAACGCCACAGCGCCAAATCTCACCCTGAATAAAATCGTGGAAAATCGGGGGCGGTTATCGGGCATAAAATAGTATAGAATATATATTGTATGTAGTTCCGCCCCTCGGCGGTAGATGGCGATGGCGCCACTTTGGGCGTGCTGTGCGTTGTCGCACTAAAATGCATTTGTGCATAGGAATTAATTACGCATAATGACAATTTGATAAAATTGAAAAATTACATTTTATTTAAATTGATTTATTGTAATTAAAAATTCTATAATGGCACCCAGGGTCCGAGTTCGCGGTGCCATGCCAGAAATGCGTTTCGTGAACAATGCGAATTTAATTTTATCAGCACAGAACATTGTTGTTGGATGATTGTGTGCCATTGATTAGTCCAACAAAAGTATTCAAATAATTAGCAAAGGTATCGCAAACAAAGTTAAGTTCTATATATTTACAAACCCATTATGCGGGTAGTCGGAATTAGAGGTGTTATGAAGATGTCCTTACTATTATATATGTATTGTACATTAAAAGTGATTTAAGACGTTTGTTGTGAATGTTATTTACATTTATGAAATAAATATCTTTAGATGTAAGAAATCTGTAAAGCTTTTTTTAAAACCCCCATTTAATTTTAGAAACAATTCCATTTTCCTGCGCTTTATTTACAAATATTTATTTATAACATTTCAAGAAACCGAAAAACCGAAAAATTTAATAAAAATAGAACACATAGGATAGTTTTTCTCTAAACCATTCCATTAAACGGACTTTTTTGTGTGTAATTGCGGGTTGCTCTTCATTTTTCTCAGTGTTTTCCATCTCCAGTTGATGGGGATTTACCTCACTCGCGTCCTTAACATCCTCCACATTAATAGTAACCGTCATTGTACTTGTTTTTTGACTATCAGTGGGTGTACCATTATCCGCCGAAGCATTTTCCAGGGCTTCAATAAGAGCAGTTTCGGTCACGGGATTTTCCACCTTGACTTTTACGCGAATATCGCCGCCATATCCTATCTTTTGGCCATTATAACTCAAAGCAATTTGCGAATCCACCAAGCTAAAGTACTTCAAGTACATGCGGTTCGTTTTGGTAAAGTTTTTGCCTACAATATTACCAATATCGTGAAAGAAACGATATACTATATAAGCCCTGTCCAACTCATAGTCGCTCACTGATATCCAAAACGTGTTCCTAGGCTCTTCAGTTTCCTTATTATTGATTTGCTCATGAGTCTTAGCATCTTTGTCCTTAAAGATAGTCGAGGTACGTGGATAGTCTTTGAAATCGTTGGGTCCACCGCGGTGTGGTGGTAAACACTCATCATCTGAGTGCTCTGAAAACCAACGCACTTCCAACTCTTTCTTATAACCATGTGAATCGTTCATTTTGTGAGGTTTTCTCTGCTTAAATATATTTTTACTATTTATTTGGTAGAATTTGATTTGCTTATTCTGACAGTTTGTGAAAAGATTACTACTATGGGTCACATTAATTTAGTACCGAAATAAAAGTTCAAATATGTGTATATTTCACAGAAATATTTGGGGAATAAAATCACCCTGATAAAGTGATCAATTACAGAGAAACTCTCAGAAAAAGTTGTAAAAAAATGAATTAATATATCATGTATATATCATAATAACTGTTTTATAAGTTAATTTTAAAAATCCCTTAAAAATCACAGAATCAAAACAGTTTGTATTTGTCACCCTTACCACTACACAAAAATGGACCAAAATTATAATACCTTTAGAAACGGTGGAAAGAATCAAAAGAAATCTATATTCACTGACGGATAAATCCTTCCTATGTTTTATTTATGAACACTTTTTCCCCGATTCCTGAGGAAATACCAGGTATGATTTATGTTACCCTTCGACCCCGCCACACACTCCCACCGAAATCGATGGGATGAACCCGGCCACAAGAACCGGACAACATCAAACGGTCCGTGGGCCCCGAACACCCGGTTTTGCTTTATTTACGCATAATTTCGTACAATTTATGAGCTAGGTATTCGGGGCTCCACATGCATAAATTTCCCAGCTCCAGAACACAGGGCGGGATACGAATTTCGAATGGTGGAGAGTTCAAAGCGTTTTCCATTCCCCGAGTCAATAAAATATTAAAAATTAGCTGATATAAATATAAGTAATACTTGGAGGCGCCAATGGGAGAGGTAGAGGTCTAGTTGCAGGGCGTGAAGTGGTTGGAACTTTGGGATTGTAAATTCCAGTGGTTTGCCACCCACTATGAGGCTCAAAGAAACCGACACGGAAGTGTCTTTCACCTGGATCCATTGTAGATGCCATTAGTTGGATGGGAGATTAAAGGCGGCTGCTTCCGTGGGTCAGGTCAAATCAAAGGAACTTCAAAAAGATCAGTGATTGGCTCTTATTCTCATCATAATTCCAGCGATCGAATGAGCTCCTAATTTGTTTATTTGTTTGCCCACAGTGGCGGCGGCAAACCTTTGAACCGACCGACTCTATCGTACTCAGGTGCGATCTGATGGATCAGCCACATATACTATATGCTAAGTGCGTAATACTTCCCTTCCCGCTTTCATAATCCTGGGTACTTGCAACGGTATATCCAAGGTGTTAATCATCCGCAAATCGTTAAGCATAATCTCGGAAACGCCCCAGATCAAAGATGTATCTCATTCGTGACCCGATAAAATCCAATGAGCTATTCGCTAACGATCTGTGATCTATCTGTTACCATGAAGAACAAAACTTCGGAATGTTAGGCTGCCGTTTACACTTTCTTTATCAGGTCTTTGTCTAGTGTGATCTTATCAAAGCGAAAAATAGGCATAAATTATTAATTTTTACCTCTTTAATGGATATTTGGTTTGGGTAAAATCTAGGAAAAAAATGTGTAAGCAACATTCCTTGCCTAAAACTGTTTAGAATTACCAAATACAAATTACCAAAATTACAATCCTCAAACTAGCCTATGATAATAATAGTTTTATGATGGTCAATCTCATTAATTACATTTATTGTTTTCTTAATCTCTTTTGATACCTTAGGAAAAATATTTTTCAAGTACATAATCGCAATCAACAAAGGGTGCAATCATTTCTCTGGGAAAAATTTAAAATTCGTAAAAAAAAAATCGAAGCGACATTAAAAAACGTTACAATAAACACTTTTAAAAGCAAAACTATTTATTACTTTTTCTAAGATTAAGTAAAATCTTGTAAGGAGTGGTAACCTGAATTTTACAAATTTACAATTCTTACTTTCGATAAAATTGTAGTTGCTCATTTCAAATTATTTCAGTTTTCTTAGAAAATAATTTCTATAGGATTTATGTAGGATTAAGTTCTAAGGGGTTATCAGATAAAATTTTTGTAAGAACTATGTTTTTAAGTCTTTGAGTCTACAGAGGCAAGAACACACCTACATATATCTAAAACAATACAATATAAAATATTCGACGAGATAGTTAAATAGTTATTTTTAAACTTTCGCCAGATTTTTCCAGAAGATACATGATGGTTTATAAAAAACTACCCAAACGTCCGAGCAGAACGTTAATTATTTTTAAACGAATTGTTAAATTAAATACTTTTTTAATTTCCCCATTTTTAATTTTAAATATATAAAAAAAAAACAATTTTTTAAGTCTTGACCTTGCAACTTAAAGTTTCCTTTACCATTTCACATCTTTCCGTTTGAATTCGCTGGGTTGTTTTGAAAAAGCTCACCAACACAGCCTTTTACTGTTTATATTTTTTATTGGTGGGTGGGTTGTTGGGGGGCGGTAGTGGGTGGGGCAGGTGCCGTGGAGGTCGTGCGTCGACGCCTCTGCCGACGTCGCTGCCCAAAGTTGCCGGCAATTTTTGCACATGCAGCTCTGTTTACAAGTGTGTGCGTGTGTGTGCTTTGTGCGTTTTGTTTGTGTTGGAGAGCACGCGGCTCTCTCTCTCATTCTGGTTTTGTTTCTCCCAATTCGACTCTCTCCCTTGCAGCGCTGTTTCCAATCAGAGAGAGTGAGAGAGCGCCCAATTGGTCTTATGCTCTCTCATTTCCCCTTTTTGCAGAGACAGCTGCGGTTCCATTTCATACGTTCCCATTGCCCCGCTTTTTCCCCTTAAACAGCGTTCGCTCTTGCTCTCTCCCTCTCTTTTGGTTTGTTTTCTACTTCCCCTGCGGGCGAACAGCGGCGCATTACGCTATCTCGCTCTCGCACCCAATAGAAGTGGGCTAGTTAAGGTTTTTGCTTCTTTTTCGCTCTTTATTTATTTCGCTTTTTGCGCTTTCTTTGTTTTTACCTTTCTGCGTTTGTTTGCGAGTGTGTGCGTGTTAATTGTTGTTGGTGGCAAAGTGAAGCGCAATGAGAAAAGTGGGCGGGGGTGGGGGTGTATGTATTGTCATATTCCGTCTTTTGCTTTTTTTTTGCTATCTTCAACATGACGTTTATTTTTCAGTTTCACCCTTCCCTCCCTTTCCATAATTCCCTTCTTTCCACTTCCGTTTCCATTGTGCTTGCATTTCATTCGAGGGTCAGGTGAGAACTACACCACCGATTTAGTGGATTGAAGGATTCGATAATAATATGAAATATAAAAACATAAACTTTGATGTAAATTTGAATGTTAAAAGACATTTTACGATTTAAATTATAAACTATTTTATTTAGATGTTCTATAAAGACACTTATTCGCAAGGCAAGGAATTATCAAGGGGTTGCAAAAATTTGTTGAATTAAGATTTCAGATTATGTTCTTTTTGGAAAAAATAGGTGGCATGTTGTAATTGAAATGATAATAAAAACTTTGTTTTTAATGCACTAACTGGAACATTAATTACAATTTTTTAACAATTTCAAATGGAGTATTTATACTGCAGAGGTGGTTTCTAACCAAAATCGAACCAAAACCTCTAATAAAAAGGCAAACTTTGATAAAATAACTAAAAAAGTATTCTACATACTTGCGTTTTGAAAAATTTATTAATGATTTTACACTGTAGCCAAAAGTTAAAAACTTAAGGTACAGGGGGAAATCGGCAAAAGTTGCTAAGTCTTTCGGCCCTTGAAAAATTTCAGTTTTATGCTTGCTTTGAAAAGATTTGAATTAAATTTATTTGCATTAAATATAAAGAGTTAACAAATTAAATAAATATAAAGTTATTCTGATAGTTGCTTAATAATTATTATGTTCAAAATCCTATATGTTAAAAATATTACAACATCCATTGACATAAATGTCACAATTTTAAGTACTCTTTACCTAGACACATTTTATTACCTCCAAAGTACTAGTTTTCAAATTCCTGTAAGTTGTCACATCCCCACGGGTGCTCGCAATGGTCTCGATGAAGAGCAGGGAGTTCGCGAAGAGTGTCTTCCAATCGGGCAGGTGTCTCTTTCGATTGCTGGCCTGTGCTTGCCGGGTTCCCCAACGGATCCCGAATGCCGGCTACATGAGCACCGTAAGCTATGTCGAGCAATTCTTGCAGGGCAATTCTTGGCTGAGGAGCAGTAATCTGTTCGTGGAGAAGACTCAGCCCATTTGGGAGGAGGGCGTGACTCCACTGGGAAGAACAGACTGGAACATTATTGTGGAAATGGAAAGAAATCTCCAGCATATGATCGAACTGGTCGGACATTTTCTACGCCCCGTAACGCTTGAAGTCCTGCTGAAGATCCTTAACCCTATTGGGCATTCCTGGAATATAGCGCAAGAAGAAGATGAAGATGATGATGAAGATTTGCCGGTGACCTGCACCGAGGTTACCGACTTGCAGCCACTCAAACTGGGCCCTATAGACCCATAGAAGAATTGGATTTCATAGCCAGAAGACTTCCGTTGAAGAATTCCCTAATGAGGTGTGCTCTGAGATGCCATTTAAAAATTTCACATGACAGTTGTATTTAAATTTGGAGAAACTATATTTTTATTAAAAACGGAATAGCAAGAATGTTCAGCCTGAGGAGTGGAATCTTCGCGGGCAGTCTTCTCGGTAGCGGCTCTTGCTTCCAGCGACTTGCGCCCTGTGCTTGTCGCTCTACGCGAAAGCCCTCGCCGAGAAAGTCTCCGAAGAAACCATTCAAACTGCAGCGGGACAATATATCTGGGGAGCAGAGACGCCTCTTGGCCCTAACGGAGATGGGATGTCAATGTCCTCCCAGGTCGCCCAAGGAGCGTTGGTTCTTCACCAACCAGCGGATAATATTGGCCCTGGCCGTATCCCTGAATCGTCCACCCGACTTGGTATCCGAATTTCTGCACTCGCTAACCCTACAGAACTTTGCCCGGATTATCAAACCGCCTGATAGCCTCGGAGTTTCTTGCAAAGTTCCCTATGTGAATTGTTATGCCTGTGATAATTTCATGAGAATTTTTGATATTCATGGGAACTTGAGGAGTCGCTATAACAAGGACTCACTTAAGATGCTATTGCGTCTCGTACAAGCGGTTTTAAGACAAGATTCCCAAAGGGAGATTGAACCGCTTGACACAAGTTTTGGCGCCCAACGTGGGGCATTTGATGGGGATTCTATAGCGAAGAGAGCTGGCATCGATAGGGACTCCATCGCTCGGCAAAATGGCAAAAGGCGATTGAGAAACTCGGAAGCGAGGGCCGCCATAAACAGAAGCGATTTCAGTATCGGACAGGTAGAGCCCACCATCGGAGATGCTGGCCATGTTTTTGGCTCTAGCCTTGACTTCTCGGACTGGGATGTCCCCATGTATACGCCTGAAGACTGGTCTTTTGATGATTCGCTAACTTCAGAGCGTTTGAAGCGGCTCGAAAACTTGCTGATTCAGCTCAATGAGAAGACTTACCTGACACGCGATTCAGACCATCTGATAACCGCCATTAGAGACCTTAACTTGGGTAGAACTGTTACTAATCCACCGCAGTATTCAAATGATAAGGTCATGGTCAAGAGAATTTCCGATTCATATTATGAAAGGGTTAAGGCATCTGCTTCAAGAACTCTGTTCAAGAAACGCTCAACCCATCATATCAGGAAGAGGAAGAAAAGCCCCGAAGAGGATTCGATTCACAAAGCGCACACAGACAAACTGTACTATGGAGCACCGGTTCCGGTGCTCCTGCACGAACCTTTTGATCGGGAGAAGCCATGGACCTGGCTGCGCCGACATCCCCATCAAAAGCGGTTGGACGACACGGGCAACGTGACCGAGGGTAGCATCCGTCGGTACCGGCGCTCCACCATCGAGCAGCTGATGCAGAAGGCCAAGGAGCGCTCCTCAGTAAGCACGGTGATATCCACGGACTCGGATCCCGATGCCAAATCGAAAACCCAGCCAAAGTTTCATAAAAAACACACCAGAAGATAGACAGTAGTCTCCATAATATCCCCAACACGCGATTTTTGTAATTCCGTTCCTTAATGAAAATATGTAGCTAAACAATCATAGGTCCTGGTAAACATTTAATAAATATAGAAAATTTAAGGGTACTTGAAGTCTAGAAATGACAAACAAACAGTTTGGAATCATAATTACAATATAGAAATCTAAGAATAAACAAGTTAAACGGTTTTATTAAGATATTAATATAATATCCTGATTTTTAAAGGTTTATTTTGTGTTTCCCCCTTAAAATTGACATATTAGTATACGTAAAGTTTAAAATATTAAATGTTTTTTAAAAAGGTTTTATAATTTTAGGAATGTTCAACATTCAACTTAAATATTTGTTAAAATAAAATAAGAAATGAAATATCAAATAAGTGTTACATAATTTAAAATTAATTTCTTATTTTATTTAAGCTTTTTATTGTTTTTGTTTGCAAAATATATAACTTAAAGTGGAGACTTGTTATAATCAAAGTATTTATATTTATAATAATAATAAATATTTTTTTATTATTTTTGTTTGCAAAATATATAACTTAAAGTGGAGACTTGTTATAATCAAAGTATTTATATTTATAATAATAATAAATATTTTTTGATATTTATAAAATATTTTAAAATAAAAACTGCAGTATGCTTTAGAGAAAATTTAAGTATAGATATAATATACTTTCCTGTTCTTTTATGGTCCCTCATCGAGTTAGGATATGATCGATTAGATTTTAAATCATCATCATAACGTCTTTATTAAATTTGGGTACATTTCACCTACAGTTTTTATTAGAAGCGGGTACTATCTTGGTCCCGATCCTATCCCCACTCCAATAATCTTTTCCCCGAGCGGTGGCATTGGAAATCTGCCTAAGCCACCGCAACTGTGCTGTTAAATCATTTTGATAATGACACCCGATGGCCGAGGGGCCCCAACTGAGGAAGTCGGGTGCCTATGCCTTTCGAGGGCGCTACGAGTATTATTTTTAGACCGCCACGTCGCCAAGACGCACCGTGTTTTGGTATATTTTCGTGATTTGAGTTTTATGACGTGTAGTAATTTGTTGGCTCGTTAAGTTTCTTTAATAGGCTGCTGGGCGAGGGGAGAACCGATTCGGTGCGGTGCAACCCGTTCGCTGCATATCGAAATGATCTTTCGCTTTTCGCCTGGCTCTCTCTTTGGCCAATAAAATTCCAAAATTTTTTACGACCAGCAAAAGGGAAATCCAACCGAAATGTTTTTTATTGCACCAGAAACACTCAATAAAAGCGAATTATTAGTGTTGGATTGCTGTTCTTTGTTTTTGTGTGCTGGCCCTCCTTTCCAATTCTATTCCATATTTTCGTTGCGCTTTTTTATGCAACTTTTGTTGCTTCTTCATGTATGTATATTTTTTGGTTGAGGTGTAAATGCATTTTTATTACAGTTTTAAAGCCAACAGCAGTTTATAGTGGGCTTTCATTTCTGCCCCGATTTGTATAGTTCTATTTGTGTGGTTGTGCGTTGAGCCCTAAGCTTTTTTTGTGGAGTTGGCTCTTTTAAATGGTGATCTGTTGTTTATGAACATACATATTTATTATGGCTTTTATATTTCGAGAATTACGCGATTTGATTAATTGCTTTAATGGAGCGGTTTGAAAAGATATGTGTTACGAATCGTAACGTACGACTTAGTATGGTGTAATATTATTGTCCTTTTTATTATAACATAACAAATTGAAGTGGAAAAGAAAAACATATTATTTGATTTAAGCCATTTCTTTAGATATTTCGGATTATATAATTTTGAGAGCAATGTAGTAGGCCATCTGAAAGATATGTTATTATACATTACTTTTTTATAAATATGTTAACTGAGAAAAACAAACAAAAGCTTTATAAGAAATCAAATTAGTCAATCAAATCAATTAATGAATATTTGATATAATTTTAAACATTTACAAGTAATCAGTATGTGATAGAATATTCTATCTCTATTTGTCGAAAATGTTTTAATAGATCTTACAATAAAATCGATTTTATAAAATGTATCTTGAATTGTTTATATAGTATACAAAGTGGAATAAATAGGAAAGAAAGTATGAAATATTTCCATTCCAACTAAAATAGCACGCATCTAAATTGGGGAATTGCCACTACTCGTAAACAATGTGATAGAATATTCTATCTCTATTTGTTGAAAATATTTTAATAGATCTTACAATAAAATCGATTTTATAAAATGTATCTTGAATTGTTTATATAGTATAAAAAGTGGAATAAATAGGAAAGAAAGTATGAAATATTTCCATTCTAACTGAAATTGCACGCATCTAAATTGGGGAATTGCCACTACTCGTAAACAATGTCCTCAGTTGGTCGAAAACAAGACCATAAAGCACGATGGAGGACCATTTCGCACTGCGAACGAGTGTGTCGCCTGTCAGGCAGTGACATCATAATAGTGTCATTGTCATCAGACCTATGCCATTGCATCGAGGACGTGGCTCAAATTTTGAAGCGCCAAAAAAAGAGCTCAGATGCCAGAGTCATAAATCAAAAAAAGCGTCGCATGACGAGCTAAACAAACAAAAACAATTAGAAACAAGCGCAAAAACTAAACGGAACTGAAGGATGGGCATGTGGATGGGCGCCATGAGCTCCATATGATCCATATGCTGGGGTATAAATAAACAATGCAGCCAAACAAGGACGACAAGGACAGCAACGACAACATTTCATCAACGCAAACGAGCGAAACGTTTATCAACTGCTCAAATGGCCATTAAACGTGTGTGTGTCCCGACATCAACGCCCCCAAAAGTGGGCGTGGAGGGGGGGGGGGTGACTATCCAGGATCCGGGATCCAGGATCCAGGACTATCTGCCAGGACATTCATCAAACGATAAATTGAGTGAATGACTTCATGATGGCGATGCAAAAGGGGCGCACTTCCTCACTTCCGGTCACTCATACATCCACACACACACTTACACTCACACGGACAATTGGCCATGTTGCAGTTGTTGCCCCCGGAGGCGGCGGTGCGTTTGCCACGCCCCCTTCGCCACCATGGCGAAAAGCAGATGGAAAAGCCCCGGAGAAAAACCCATTTTGAGCGACTGTCTGCTGTCTGCCTTAAATTGCCATCACATCCTGTTTGTTGGGGGCTTGTTGGACGGAGTGCAAGGGACGCAGGACGAAGGATGGCTTGCCAATTGTTTCTCTGATTGGTATTCATCCATGGACTGTCCAGTTGGTGCAGCCCGTCAGGGACTGTTATCCTTTCGGCTCCCGCTTTTTGGCCGCCTTTTTCGCCTGCACTCTTGTCTTCGTCCTTAGGCCACATCCATCATTCGGCGCCCGACGTGACGTTAGTGTTTTAATGGACTCCACTTGTCTGCCTTGATCACACAGGACCCAGGAGTTCAGATGTCCAGAAGTCCAGCATCCCGAGACCGGGTCCACATCCTTTGGCTGCATTGTTTGTCTACGTGCTGGCAGCCGACGAGTCTGTCAGCCGGTATGAGGGCATTTTTATTGCAGCCGTACTGGACTCGGAGTCATTTGCATCTTTATTTGAGTCAGAGGCGTATTTATCTTTCGTCTTTGCAGTTGATTTGGCATGCACTCAGAGAAAGTTGGGATAAAATAACAGAAAATAACTGTTAGTGTTAGTGGAAAATAAACTAATATTTTTTCATTAATTCGATAGTATTTTCGTAGCATTGTACATTTGTTGGTCCAGAAAATCCCTTATTGTATATTAGATTCGTAGTAAAGTATTTAACAAGTAGAAGGAAGCTTTTCTTACCGTTTAAAATTATAAATTATCATAAAATGCATAACAAGTAATACAGGGGTTGTCCACTGTGCACCACTTCTCTGATCTGCATCAAAATCGATAATGATCATAGAAATATTGAACTAATATAATACACCGAGAAAATTCTAACGTTCTCATCTGAGTTGAAAATGTTCTTAAAAATAGAACGACATTTTTAAGTTGAAAATGTTTTTATTTTACTCGAATCAAATCGAATTGGCGGTATTTAAGTACGTTGTATGTACAAATAAACTATTAGTTTAGTCCTTTGTGTATACTTATCAAAAAGTTGTTAAATAAACTCAGTTTAACTTTTCTCTTCTCACCATTTTGTTCTTATATTGATACCAAAATGTACTTACACGGTTTTTAAGAACGAATGTTCTCAATTCAAGAACAATGTTCTTGGATACTTCTCTCTGTGTAGTTATAATGATAACGATGTTCTAAATTATATTATATTTAGGGTAATATTTTTAAGGTGTGATTTCCTAAATTATAGGTCATTTGGTTTTTTCTTTGTAAGAAAATAAATCATTTTATTTAAAACCAGAATGAGATTAATTTGTATTTTATTATCCTAAAATTTCTTTAACAGCAGTGTTTTCCTAAACCCGATTAAGTTTCGATCTAGTTAACACACAAAAATATTCCCACCTTTGTCAGGCGAGATTACCCTTGATCGATGGAGGAACGGAAGTATTGGCAACTATGTTGCTCATTTAATGAGCTTACAATGCTCGGATCGATTGAGGGCGACATCATCATGATACGTATTGCCACTAATATACTATGTTGGCGGCTTACGTCAGTCGACTTCCTGACATTAATCGTGGCGACAGGCTCCTAGCCGATTTTAATCGCAGCTAATATTAACTAATTGGCATACTTAGCCGGCGATGATTGCGATGGAAGATGAGACAGTGTGCGGTAGTACACCTCACGGCCTCTCCATCAAGATGCGACACCGCCTGAAATTATCTAATGAATTTTCACTTAATCCGAATCAAAAGTGGCGATCAAGATGCGGCATCCGTTTGCATCTGTTGGTGTCGTCAGCCAAAAGAAAACTTTCTTGCCCTGCGATGTGTTGTGTCGTTGGTTGTCATAATCCGATCAGCAGGCGAATATCCGAGGCCCAAGGCCCAAGGCCCCAGAGGATCGCAATCGTATCGTATGGAGCAGGGGGTTCCCGAAGGCGGGGGGCTGGGCACTACCCGAGATATGATCTGTGGGGTCGTCAGCACGATCTCGAGATCTCAGTCTTCCTCAGTCCTCCCTCCTTTTCCTCCATGCTCGTCTTCGTCTTCGCGTTGATTTTCATTTCATTCTCGCTAATAATTCGCCCGACAGATATTCAGGCATAATTAGAGATTAATTGTTCTATTCATAATTGGTCTTGGCTTGATATTTTTGGACATTTGGCAGGAAGGCGAAAATTACATCAACGTGGGGTTCTCTGGCTGTCACAGTTGCTAAATGGCAGGGCTGACAAAATAGAGGTGGGGATCGGGGAATTATACCCAAAGTGACAGCAACAGTTGCCCTGCGGAATCACATTTAAATATTATGAGATGAAGAATAGTTCTTCAGCTAAAAGAACAGAATCGCTAAAAATGTATTAGCAGAACTGCCCACTCTTCAATCATCTATTTTTATATTGACTTAATTATGTCCGTACTTGCATTCCTTCTTGAAACCAGTCAGTCAAAGTATAGCCAAACATTAAAAAAAATTAAATAAAATAAGTCACAAATTTATCTACTTTCGAAAAAAAATCCTTATTTAGTTTACCGATGTTCGATTTCAATATTTACTTAAAAAATGGGACTGTTGCAAATCAACCATTTTGCTTTCAGTGCCGTTGTGTTCTATTGACAAGGCTCTTGATACATTGATTACAAAATTATAAATCTGAAATGATTGAAAACGCTTTAGAACGAAGTCATTCGGATGGGCTAGACCTTTGTACAAAAGTCCACCGGCAGATGGAATACTAGGTAGCAGATCTTCGAGCACTTGTTCTTGATTATGTCTACGCTCTCTTCGTCTATGTAGGCCAGTATTTCTACGTTCTCCGCATCTGGGTACACCACCTTTGATTGGTACTCCGGACTGCATTCATCCAGGGGGGATTGTTTCACCACACACCACTGGCCAGTGTCCAATCCGCAATTCTGCTTCTCAAAGAGGTAAAATATGCGGCAGAGACGAACGTCCACCACCTTTGGAATCACGAAAGACACCTTGATTAGTTCGAAGTGTCGGATGAAAGAGGTGACCTTAAAGGGTGGGCAGATCGCTCTGGTCTCGGTGATCAGCCAGTCCTTTGTATAATCGTCCTCGCCGACGATCAGCAAGTTGCAGTCGAATCTCTCCACCGAGGTGCACTCGCTGAAGCGCAGAGAGCTCACTTCCTCCTTAACCCTGTGGAAGGTTTTCAGCAGGAACTGAAGTACGCAAGTAAACTCGCAGCAACAGGGATTCTCCTCGTTGCTCACTACGACTCCGTACCGCCGATCCTCCGGCATGACCCTTTTATACGGAGGACGTTCGGGGTCTCCTCCGCAGCAGTCTACATTACACCCCTTCGAGGGGCAGGCTTGCAGTGTGCAGCTACTGGCAGTTGGCCCATCGCCCACAGAAGAGTTTGACCACGAACTTAGGTCTGATTCCGAGCTGCAATCCGCAAAATCCATGACTTCGATAAAGTTTAAAAATAAATTTTGATAGCGAAAAAAATGTGTTGTAGTGAATACTAGAATATATATAGAAAAAAAATGGAACTGTGTAAAATGAACTCAAATTCAGTTGCAAATCACGACCTTACTAAACAGAGGATTTTCGATGAATGAGTGTTAAACGTTCATAGCCCAGGCAAATAGGCAAACGCTGAAGTCACAGCCTACTTTTAACAAAAACTTTTAAAGTTATATTCTCATTTGAAAATCGAACTAAGACATGAGATCAAAATTCATTCGTTCTTGCCAGTGGCGGATCCAGAATTTAGTTGTGGGGTGGATAGAAAAAAAATTGTATCAGTAAAAAACCAACAGTTGGTTTAAAATACATAATACATATACTTTTCAACCCTTTTGGGATCAAAAAATAAGCAAGGTCTGTATCTATGGATACAAAGAATAAAACTAACCCTTTAAAGTCAAATTACCAGATAAAATATTAATACTTTATCTTCTTTTTCGGTACCTCCTACAATAAATAAATATAGGTTTTACTGAAATGTTATTAGACTAGCTTTAATCTAAATCCCATTTGGCTTGCCATTCCCAACCTGTTCCACTAACTCCTAAGAATGTCCACATACAAGTCTTTGTTCTTTGGCCAAGTAAAAATGTTCCAAATTATCTTGAGCAACGCATCTAGAACATTTGTTAAACCTTTCCCTAACGAAATTTGACAGGATATGCTTGTGTTTGTAGCCAATTTTCTGGTGTTTCTCTTGTTTTTGGCTTGTGTAATTTGTGTTATTTGCCCATAAAGTTGATGGTTGGCTCGTTTGTTTGACATTCCGCAGGACATGACCAAAACGGAGGACTCGCAAAGTGAAAGCAGTAGCATATTTTATTTCTCCTAATGATAGCCAGCTCGCCGAATGTCTCCAAGGACCAGAGGACGAAGGACCAGAAGACCAAAGTGGCCGGGCGAAAGGAAAAGAGCACATAAAATGTGAAATTTACGGTCGGGCTTTCCTTTGTTTTTACTCAAATCATACATAGATTATACAGAATTATGACGAGCGCGTGTCTATCCATCGAGCAGGACAATGGACGAGTGTCGCCTGCAGATTGGGGTGGACCCGAATCGAATCGACTGTCGTTATCGTCGTCCTGCGCAAATAGTTTTCATAAATTAATTTTATTTCGTTTGCGGAGCCTCGGACACAAAGGTCCTGCCCCCCGATTTCCAGACAGTTACATATTTCTTTACCAACTGTGCGTTTAGTTTTTCTTCGTTTCGTCTTCATGCCGAAAATTGACGTAAATTAGAGCACTTTGTGTCGATTTGCAACAATTTGGGCTACGAACTTGTATCGCAAATCCATAAATATTTATATTTACGGTTTAGTGTATGTTATAAATGACTGCAAAAGTTGCGGATAGGAAATGGTCTGCCTGGCGATCACATTCTATCTATCTCTGGGTCCACAATTCTGGATACGTAAGCAAGTTGGCGAGCTTCTTTTTAATTTATTAGAAAATATATTAAAGATGATTAATATAGCGCAAGCCAAACATTAAATTGTTTGTTTTGAATATTTTTATGGAAAGATATTTTACTTGATTTTCTTAATTTCTAGATTTTGGAACATTTATTATTGGAATTCCATTCTCAGGACCGGTTATAATTTCTTAAAAAATAACCGGTACATTTTTGACTTCGATTTTGTTTTTCAAAAAATATTTTTTTGGAACATACAAATTGAGGTTGTAATTTTTAGGAGCTGTTATAAATTCTTTAGAAATTACTTATTTGATTTGATTTATAAATGGCTAATTTTTAGTTTCGTGCACTCTAATTTAGTATCATATTTAGTTTCATTACTTATTATTGCTTATAGAGAAATGGGATTTCAACAATTTTAACCAGAAGTTTAAATATATATCGAATATCAAACATTTGCCTTATTTAGTTCTATATAACACGCTGGATTAGGTGACAACCTAAATCCTTATTTTCTTACCAATTCCGTTTGTTTTCCCCCAGTCTGAACAAAGCCAACCGAAAGTGTTTTGCTTAAATCCGAAAAACTGAAATCGTAAAAATGAATTTTTAATGCCCGACATGGTTGGGTAGACTGAGGCGATAGATAGGAATAGATGTGGAGTTTCGGTTGAAAGTATTCCTGGCAGCAGAAGGACCCGGCCATTTGGCTTGGACTGGCCAACCATCATTTCAAAATAACGTATCGTAAATTTTCAAGTTAACATCAAAATTGTGAAAATTATGTACAATTCCCAGGAAAAGCAACGAGGGCAGACCGAGAACATTCATAACCAAATTTATTGCAAATAAGAAAAATGTCCGCCAACCGATAGACGGACGGAGACAGAGATGGAGATGAAATGAAAGTGGGAAAATGGGGGGAAAAGTGGGGAAAAACTGGGGGAAAACCAACAGATAGACAGGAATGCGAGCGGGCTGAGTGGAAAACTTCAGGGCAAGGAGGACATGCTGGTCGAGCTGTGAACGTAGTAAAAGTGGCCACAGGACAACAACAAGGATGGCTCCTGTGCTCCGCACTCGCTCGTAGTTTTCCCACCCCCTCTGCGGTCAGCAGAAAATGTAGGAAAATAGATGAAAACCAAAGCATAAAAAACATAAATTCCACACACACCAAAAAAAAAACGAGACACACAGAGGAAAAACAAGAGGAGCAAAAAAATGATGAAAGACAAACATGCGCCACAAGGATAATGGACAGCGGCAGCGAGCGAGATGGAAAATCGGGGACACTTTTGTGGGTGTTGTGCGCACACAAAACTTTTCTTTATCCAGCGGGGCAGAGGGTGGTGGTGGGGGTGGGGATTTTCCCGAGAGGGGGAGGCGGGTTCTAAGGACATCGGGTGGCTTCCATCAAAACAAACAACGGGGCCAAACACTTGACGAGCGCCGAGCTTCGAGCGTCGAGCATCCGAGGAGCCAAAGGATTTCCACACAACCGGGTTGACCCGAACTGAAAAGTGTTGGAATGTTTCGAAGTCGGGGGTTGGCCAGCTGGAATTGGCAACTGGAAGGCAACAACTATTCAGCGGATTTTACTTCAGTTAAAATAATATATATATTGGCAAGGAAAATATAGCAAACTATCTATCAGTAGCAAGAAATCTTTTTTTAACATTTAAATAATTTCAAAAAATAATTTGGTTGTACATTTTATAGTCTACAATCAAAGCAAAAAGATTTTTAGTTTAAATTCTTATTAAAAAATTAAATATGGTTAGGTTTTTAAAAACTTCCAACATTTTCTAACTTTTGAAAAAAATTTTGGAATCACGTATTTATACTTTCTGAAAAATTAGGTGACTTTTCCCAGCTATATTAACTTTGATCAAGAATATAGATACTACTAGGGTCGGAAACGATTACTTCTTTTACTTTTCAATGAACTCAATTCGAGAAACAGGTATAATAATCACAAAAAGCTTATATTGTCTAGCCTTTAAGTATCTAAAAAAGGGTATATGAAGTTTCAAAATATAATATTTTGCAGTAAGTCAGAAATCATGAATATATGTTGGCATTGTGTTTTTCCTTCGATGTAAGTACAATTACCCACTCATACTCACGTCGAAATAAACCCAGATGAAATGTCGAATTAAAAACGAAATCCCCTCAGCAAAAACACCAGTTTTCTACCCCCATAAGTGGCCTTGAACCAAAAGGGGGCCGCAGTGAAGGGGTAAACAATGAAGTGTCGTCCGTAATTACATGTGCCACGCCCACCCGTGTGACAAAACAAAAATAGAAGTCCCCAAAATGAAAAGTCCTCGATGTGACAAACAACGGAATTGCTATTTTAGAACCCAAAAAAAAAAAGAGGAATCCAAATTTGTGCAGATTTTTCAGCTGTGTCAAAAAATTGTCAGCACAGAGTAAATGGCAGGGCCTAACTGCCCTTCCAAAAACCCCACATCCCAAACATATATCCAACCCACTTTCCACCCTCTGGGTAAATATTCGTATATGTCATGGTAAATATGAGTTACATTCTGCTGCAAAAATTTGACACTTGATATTTTGAAAATTGTCTGCCAGCAAGCGAAACAAAAAGAAAAATCGACCGAAATGGAAATGGCTTTTGAATTTGAGGAGCATTGCCATCAAAACATTCTACGAATGGCAAACATTTTCGATTTATTTCTAATTAGAGACAACTTTTTGTTGGACGTTCTGGTTCTGGTCGTTGTTGTAGCTGGTTTCGATTTTGGTCGTTTTGCTTATTGAGTTCCAACATTTGCTCGCAGCTGAAATTATTTGACAGTTGTCATTTTGACAGTTTGTGGCAAAAATTAGAATGGGATGTGTGCAAATTAGCAGAAGTTGAAATGCCCTCATCGCGAGTGGATCTTTAAAGGTATTAAAAGCGGGGTTTATTATTTATATCCAATAAAATGTAATGATCACATAACACGACGCTGAAAAAAGGAATTTATTATTTATTTTGAATAAAGAGCATCTCTTGCATGACTTCCTCTTTCTGATTTTTGTCTTCTGTCTTCCAATCTTTCTTGGTCTTTTCAAAGAGTTGAGATCTTTTTGACAAAAGCGCCGAAAATCCCATTAAACATGTTGTACCCCATTAAGAGAATTCATTTAGCCAAATTAATTAACTTGTTGTTCTTAGCGACAACAATTACGGGCGAGTGAAAAGAACGCTTCCATCATCGTAAAATATTTGCCGATGAGGCGTGAAAATTAATAAAAATTATAAAAAAAAAGATGTGGATACGTGATTTTGGAATATACGTATAAGTGGAAGGTTGCTTGCTGTGCTTTATTTTTTCGGCAGTGCGGCTATTAAATCATAATAAAAAATGATAATTGCGATTTTCACCCGACAAGCCGTAAATTAATGCCACGCATGGGAGAGAGACAAGTGTAAGTCGTGATTCAAATTGACGTGTCAACAATTAACATAACTCTTGGCCCAGAAAGAAGAGGCGTTCGAAATGTCCAA